GGGTGATTTCCAGAAAAATAAAATAAAAATTAAGAAACGATTAGAAATGGCGTCTGCACCTTGAAGACGGCGACTAATTCTAAGACGCTGGCTGAGTTTTGGATTTCAGTTGACAGTGAAATAACCACAGCTATCCAGGGTGGCTTTCGATGTGTTGATGCCGTTTGGCACTACCTACTGCGAAAAGACTTTCTCAGCTCTGATGTACCTAAAAAAAGAAATACGGATAGTATTTTGAATATGGAGGATGTTCTCCGAGTAGCGGTCTCCAACATTAAACCAAGATTGGTCCAAACATATTGCACATCCATCTCATTAGGCGAGGTCAAGTTCAAATTAGTAAATAGTAATTTACTGTAGAATAATGTTATGGCTGTTGTGCTATTTTGTGCTTGTGTTTGGATACGTCTATAGTGCGTGCGAGGTTGCGCGCAATATTTATATACGTTTATAGTGGGGGGTCCTATGTCACTTGCACCGTCATGGACTGAAGGTTTTGGGAACCTCTGTGATAGCAGGCCAGGTAGGACCAGAAGGTTGAGAAGTTATGGAGTTATTTGTAAATGGGGAAATATTTGCCCCTCGAGACTAAATCCTACATTAGAAAAACAAAACTTCGTTAAATTGTTGTTACATGACTTAGCCAGCTATGGATTCAGCGTTCTCAACTTACATGGATCAGTTAATGAGAAGAGCTGCCTGGACGGATCAGTGCTCAGAAAAGGCTTTATTATTGAACTAAATAATTGTTCAAGCTAATTCCGAAGTCAAAACATGCAAAAAATTTAACCCATCTCATTCTAAATCAAAAACCAACATTTAGTAACACATAAAACTAAACGGTAACAATGGATAGCGAATGAGGGAGCAGCAATGCACACACTTCAGGGCAGTGGTGACCTAGTGGTGAGGGCATTGTGCTTGGAATCCTGAGGTTCTGAGTTTAAACCCCACTCCCACAGACTGCCACTCAGGGTCCCTGAGTAAAGACAAAAACTTCACGTCATTTCAGGGCATGGCTGCTGAATGCACCCAAACTTTTGTTTATAAAAAGTTTTTGCACTCTCCTGGTCTCCAACGCTGCTCATTGTAGTACCAACAGTATATGTAATAGACTATAATCCACTTTAAGTCGCTAAAACTGCAATTATTTAAAGTTTAGCAGTTTGTTCTACTGTGTTGCAGAAGTCAACATAGCTGTTAATAAATAAACTCTCAAAATGCCTCATTTTTCATTTCTTTTCTACCACACCCCCCTGCAATGATACTCCACCACCCCTAGAGGGCACATTCTTTAGTTTGGGAACCATTGCACTAATGAAACAGTCAACTAACGCACTACCAAAACCGATACAAAACCCCCCATATCGCTAATGTTGGCCAAAAATATTGGCCAGCTATTTTATACGTCTGTCTCTAATAATCACACAAACAATGAGGCAATATTTTAGATTAATAAGAGTTTTCTGAATGAAGCTCAAATGCAAATATGTTGAAGGAAATGATCCTGGTACCACTTATTCTTCTCAGGGGTTTAATTTTTAGTAAAAAATACTGTAAGAACTTTTTATTTTTGCTCTCTGAATGAATCCTCTCGCGTTAAAGGTTGGTATTTCATGAAGTTTAAGACCTTTTACACATCTCTACAAGGGTTACCAATAAATGGGGCGATGTCCTTGAAAAGTTTTTTTTTTTTGCGTCCATGGCTTTTCATGCCTATATGCTGAACTGATTTCAGACAGCTGGCAGCTTTTCACGTCCACCTTTAGAGGCGAATCTGAGAATTTATGCACTGCTGCACCACGTGCTAAAACTTGAAGGGTTTTAGTGCAGCTGTTACAGCTGCTGCCCTTCCTTATGTTCTTTTGATATACTTCTTTCTTTTGTGTTGTGCTTCCCAGACCCTCACCTTGACTATATAAGCTCCCCTGCTAGCTTTAGCCTTCCCACAGAAACATTAAGCCTCCATCCTCTCTGCTACAAAAAAAAAAAAAAAGTCTCTGATTTTTCTCCAATATTGAAACATTCCTTTAAACCGTCTTCGGTGCCCAAATCGGCTAATAAATCACCTAATCCCTGCCTCTAGCTCTTTTTAAAAGCGCGGTAGAGTGGAGCATTGTTGGACTCTTCTAAGGCTTTAGCCTTTTCAGAGCTTTCCCCTTGGACGTATTATTGAGCCTGGATCAATGGAGGGCAGAGCGCCCCTTTCACCCTCTCACCCACACTCTGTCATTAATCTGCTGGGTTCTAACATGCCCCCCCCCGCCCCCTCCTTATTTACTCAGCTGACCCACTGCTGTTTGATGTTCAGTAAGAGGCAGGCAGGCCCTGGGACACACACACACACACACTGATGCCTGTGACCCACTCGTCAACTCTAAGCTCAGTGAAAGTGTAGGAGGATGAAGCTTCGTGCCAAAGACAGAGGTGGTTAACATGCAAGCGCCACGGCGAGGACGCAGCAAGGGGAAGGAGGTTCTATCAGTCCCCCCCCCCCCTCAGCAATTTGCTAGAAGCAGCGTATCTGTATTTCCTTAGATCCACACCGCGATCACTATCTGATTGCGTGTGCGAGATGTCACAGTCCCTCCCTGCTGGGTGTACCGGGATCAAAAACAAGCGCCATCTCTGCCAAATCTTCATCATCCATCTCATTCCCAGCTTTAACTGTTCTTATCCGACAACTCGTACTGCAATTTATTCTGCCTTTTAAATCTGATCTGGGTCTGTTTGAAGTGGGCTTACGCTTCGGCTCTGACTTGATATTTTTCATTATGCAGTTTTATTCAACACCAGCTGTTTATTGCGCTTTATTCCACATCTGGATCCATCTGTCCATTCAGCTGTTCCTTTTTAGATCGTTAGCACTCTGCAGGGCACGCCACCCACTATTGAATAGAGACATAAGAGGCACACTCTATGGGGAACGCAAGATGTTGCCTCGGATGTTTGTGCTCATTAGGGATCATTGTGATCTGATGGAGGTCTATGTTTTTACGCCAAAGATCCCAACAAAGAGTCTTTTTCCATGTCTTCTCTGATTTTTTTCATTTTTATGGTTCATCTCTCATTTTCTCAGGTTGTTCGCTGCATTTATCTGCCTCTTTGTTTCCCTCCATCCATTTTCCGTCACTTTTATCCCAAGTTGGGTTGCGATTGGTGCTGGTGCAGGGTTCACCCGGCACAGGTCGCCAGTCCATTAAAGGGGAACACAGGGCAACCAGCCATTCACGCCCCCAGTCACACCTAAGGAGAATTTATAGAAGCCAATTAACCTAACAGTCATGTTTTTGGACTGTGGAAGGAAGTCAGAGTACCCGGAGAGAACCCACACATGCACAGGGAGAACATGCAAACTCCATGCAGAAAGAATTGAACCCGGGACCGTCTTGCTACAAGGCAACAGTGCTACCCACTGCTCCACTGTGCATCCCTGCCTTTTTATTTCCATCATGGATATTTTCTACTTCCTCTGCTGCCTCTTAAAACACATTCCTCAATAATAAAACCCTGATAGTGCCTCTGTCTGCGTCGGTTTAAAATACGCACCTGTTTGAACTGACATGTTGTCCGATTGAAGCTGGGAGGGGGAATCAAACAAAGCAATACTGAGATCCTCTGTGTGGAAAATGTCCACACCCATCCTGGTTTAAATTCCAAATTAGTGGTCAGAATCATCAGCTGAGAAGTGACTGTCTCCATAAAAGTGGCAGATGAGGATGTCTGCTGCTCTGCAGCATTCATGCTTTGGTGTTTTAACTCAGCAACAATGGTAGAGTGTTGGAATTCTGTCATTTTACAACAAGAAAAAATGAGCATCCCATTAAAATAACCCTGAAGTCAGCCTCTTAAAGGCTCCAATAGATTTCCTCTGATGGGTTAAAAAAAGAGCTACATTTTTAGACCTTGAAGGCCTCAGTTATAGAAGTAAAATTACCTTTGTGTCTCATGCTGGAGAAATTTAGGGTTTGACGGTAGCAAAAACTGTTTGACAGAAGCAGAGGTGTTTAATTATAATTTACATACTCAGTTACGTTTGCTTTAGTAACATTTTGAAATAAATATACTAATTGGAGTAGTTGTTATTTACTGTATGCTTTTATTTAACTAATATAGCTATTCATTTGATAGGAAGATTCAGATCAGGTAATCCGTATATCCAAAATCATTTATGGGTCCAATAGGCCTGCAGCTATCGATTATGTAAATATTTAATTCATCTATCACATTTTTTTTTTCATTTAATCTAAAAAATATATAAAATCTAAAAAAAAACACTTTAGTAAATTATGTATTTAAATAAGCGAATGTTTTGAATTGAGGGAATTTTAATAGAATTTTTTGAAATCAGTGAAATCGGGTATTTCCTGTAAGGTTCAGTAAGACTTCTGCACCTGTTGGTTCGCTGTTCATAAGCAATGTGCTTGAATTTGTCTGGGACAGTTTTTTTTAGAATTGTATTTTTAAATACAAATCTAAACTCTATATATATTATTTTACCAACTTAGGAATAAAAATTTATTTCAGACAATTTTGACAAACGACAATAAACAACAATAAATAAATCAACCAAATACACACAAGAGACTAGTTAACATCAACCAAACCAAACACCAATTTGATACACTGAAAACAAATCTGTTATGAACCATTCAGTGATTTCTATAGTATATTTGAGCTACAGGCGAAAGAACTTCTGAACCAGGTTGATTTTGATTTTTTTTCCTATATAATCCATTTGGTAAAGCTGAGTTTGACCCCTGACCTCATAAACTGATCTTATCAATGGCTGGAACCTCACACAGCTTAACGTGCGGCCGGGCTTTCCCACGACGGAGGCTCATTACTGACGGGTTTCACCAGGAGCCCTGATCTCTGGGCTTAGCGACGTGTTTTCAAAAGTCTGATCAGTCTTTTTCTTTCTTGTCATTAGTTGTTGACCCTAGATTGTGGATTATAAACGAAAGCTCTGCCTTTGTGGACGTGCTTTAAATTAGTGAAATGTGGGATAAAGCAACTAAAACAAAGTGTGTTGCTGGAAAACCTTCTAGGAATTTTGGGATTTAACGAACATCCATTAAAGTCAGAATCTGTCTGTGGCCGCATGCTGAGCGTTTTACCTCATGGTCTTCCTCTGTGTCCTCTCTGTTTGTTTTCACCGAGCAGAAGAAGGAGCGGGAGTGCATGCAGCTGCGCATCGCCGTGCTCCGCAGTGAGCTGCAGCGGCAGAAGAAGGCGCTTGGCCGGGAGACGGACATTCGACAGAAGGAGAGGGCGCGGCTTCAGAAGAAAGGTAACTCGGATGGAAGGAGACGAAAACCACATTTCCGTTTATAAATGGAAACCAAGGTTACAGCTGGACCCGCACGGTGATTTTAACTACATGAATAGTTGTAATAAATGCCAAACCTCTTAGAAAATTCCTTTCACTAGTTTGTTTTCTAGTGAGCTTTTGTATTGTTTAATTCTCCTTGGTGTAATAAAATACCAATCTTCACTTTCTCCTCCAATAACAGCTCAGCCAGCGTAGAATTACTCACCGTTTGCTGTTTTAACCCTGTGACCTTGCTAAACCTAATGCAGACGCACAAGTAGAGAGAAATGAAAAGAGCTTCTGCAACTCATTTATTAGCCTCAAGTGGAGTCGGTTTACTCAAATACTTAATGCACTTGTGTTAGAAAACTTGTTATGATGGTGAAAACATGTGCAACTAATTCCAGCATCAGCCCTTTTTACTGTTTTCAGAAATGTCTTACACTTGACACCATCTCAGATCCCACGAGGATAGAAAATGATTAAATGCATGAGAGATATTTTTATTTTACCATGATGAACTCTTTTTCATTCTAACATGCTTTCTCAACAGAAACAGATGTAAGTTAAGTGTGCAAATAAATGTGAACTAGGTAACCCAAATATAACACTCTTTCTGTGAAGCTAATATCATACAGGTAGCGTTAGCTTATGTTACTGGGAGGTTCGTTTCATTAAAGCACATACAAGATTTTAACAGACTCATTTGGAGTTTAGATGGATGCCCTTTGGTTTTTTTGACAGTCACCCCCTTTATCGACCGCTAAAGAACTCGCTTCTCTCTGCAGAATGGACGTGTTTTTCAGGAAACATAATATTCCATTCACAGGTTTGAAAAGGAAAACTCTACCTCGGGATAAATTAGCATTCAGTTGCTGACCAATGCTGAGCTGAACTGTTGGTGCTCTTTCCCAAACTCCCAACCGAAGAGAGAAAAGATAAATGCTGTTTGGCTCTGCTGTTTGTTGTAAACCTTTCTAATCAGCCCACATGCATTAGCCTGTTTTATGATCTGGAAAAAAACCTGCATTTATTATGAAGCTATTGCTTTTGGCGACAGGTGTTTACAGTGTTCTATAAAGCTGCTGATTTTGTTTGTCTCATCGGATCCCATCTTTGAAGGTATTCAGGATTTATTAAATGTGGTACATTTTCCAAACTTCCTTTTGAATCCCATACACTCCCATTGGGGGGGTGATGGCCCAGTGGTTAGAGCAGTGCGCTTGTGCTCGGAGAAGGTTGCAAGTATCCGGTTTGATCCCCACAGCTTGCACTCTGGGTCCCTGAGCAAGACCCTTAACCAACACTGCTCCCTGGGTAGCGCACAATGGCAGCCCACTGCTTCCCAAGGGGATGGCTTAAAATGCAGAGATAAATTTCTCCTGTGTGAGATTAATAAAGTTCAATTAGTATTATAATTAATATAATAATTATTATCATTAAATTGAAAAACATCCATTTGTTCATGGATCTAGATAAAAATGTAGACTTATTAACTTAAAGTTTTTCTCTTTCTTTTTTGTCTTACAAAGTAACTAAAAATAGCCTAAATGCATTGAATGAATTAGACAAATGTATGAGTTTGTCGATTTATTTATTCTTGCATAAACAAATAAATCAGTAAGTTCCAAGCATCCAGGGTTCAGTATCTGCTTAAATGATCCAAGATGGGGTGATGCCGGGTTCTCTCTGTCACCAGCAATAACAGGAAGCAAAAATGATAAAGTTGTCACATTTGATCACGTTTCAGACACAAGCTATAGTGAAATTTTGTTGATATCTGAAGAACCGGAGTAAAACTGTGTGGAGGTTGAGATGCTAAACAGCTAATGGGCTTCTACTATATAGAGTTTTAGCAAGTTCGAGGAGCCCAAAGCCCTTTATGCAATATATGAGCAATGCTGCCATGCAGTCACCTCTGAGGTGACCAGCAGGTAGGGCGGGAGAGAAGTCCTACCCAAGGATGAACCCCTACCTCCTCAGGCAGTGTTGCTGTGTACAAATCAAAATTGTTGAATGTGTGAGAGGCATGTGATTGGATTCTGTGTTCAACCTCCCTTTACTGCTATTCCTGCAGCTTGTCTTCTGAGATAAACGTCTTACAGCTTTGGGCAGAAGGAAGCATTCTAGTTAAAGATACGGTTCAACTAAATCGTACCACAGATTTTCCACCGGATTTTTGTCTGGTTCTTTCTAACACACAGATGTGTGGTCAGGGGTGAGGTGTGCCACATCGAATGGAGGTCTGGACAGAACCACTGAACCGAACACATTCTTCTAAAGGTTCAGTTCAACAACAAGCAGTGTCCTTCTCTGCTGCCCACAGCCAAACAGACATATCTCCCTCCATTGACCCAAAGCTCTCCGGTCACACATCCAAGGTTTTATATTCCACCTTGGGCCAAATGAGCAGAAGCTGGTTTTTCCTTGGCTTCTCCCAGGTGAAAAGACAGCTGGAGAGACTGAACCAGAACAAGGCTGCAGGTCCAGATGGTGTCCGGCCCAGAGTCCTGAAGGCCTGTAGGTTTCTACAGCACCTCCACAACCTTGGCCTGACCCAGGACACCGTTCCAGTGATGTGAAAGACCTTTAGGACAAAGAAAAGTAAATATCCATCAGTCATCTGTGACAAGACTTGTTACCCTGACATCCTAAACCCTGCAAATAAGCAGCTATCAGGACCCCCTGCAGTTTGTTTATCGCCTTGGAGTTAAAGTTGAAGATGCCATCATACACCTGCTTTAACAAATCCTTTTTCATTCAGACATGGCCGAAAGCACTCATGTTCTTTGCTTTCTTCAGTGAATTTAACACCATTCTATGGAAGAAAAATGGTCTCGTTGGATCTGCCTTTTATTTTTACAGCAAATTTTAAACGCTCAATTATTTTACACCTTATTTTAAACATTGAAGTTTTTTACACATTAGATTCCTTACACTGAATTTGTATCTGGTGAAAATTCACCTGCAAAGAAATTCAGCTCCAAAAAATTCACCTGTGAAAAAATCCGCCATAAAAAAAACATCGCCTGCAAAAATTCAGCTCCAAAAAATTCAACCTCCAAAAATTTGCCTGCAAAAAAATTTGGCTGCAAATGTTTTGACCTTTTGGTGAACTCAAGCCAAAGCAATCTACACTCAGTGCAGTCGAGCAGCTTGTAGCCAATGACATTAGCTGATTCGGACAGGAAAAAAAAAAAAGATTGCCACCGGCCGCTTCTTCCATATCAAACCAAGAGCCCTGGCAGACAGGGGTGCCACACTAGCTTTGATTGGCTCAGTTTGCCGACTGGGGTTCAAGGAGACAGAAGAAGAGATACAAAAAGCAACTGTAAAAGGTGACACCATCCAGGAAACACACAGCCAGGCAGACGAGCTCTGAGCCAGCTCCCGTGTCAGAGGATGAAGAGACACTACACGGAATTTTACACTGAATTTGACCAGATAAAAATTCAGTGTAAGTAATTCAATATGAAAAAAAAAATCAGTGTTTCAAATTTGGTGCTACAAAAGTTCAGTGTTTAAAATATGGTGTACAAAAAAGGCAGATTTCAGTGAGACTGTTTTTCTTCCATACCATTCTTCCTGATTGTTTTTTTTTAAATGGTAAAAAAACTCTTAGGTTAAGGCTTTAAGAATCGCTTCGATCAGAAACAGACCACAGTTTTTACCTAAAACTGAGGGAAAATGGGCTACCTCTGCATCGCTAGTCTGGCAGATGGCGCTGTGGAGCCCTTTTGCTGTGCGGCGCAGTGCTATAACTGTAGTTGAGTCAGTCACATCGGAAGATGTGGACTGACTCGAACCCCAAGCAACATGGATACCAAAAAAAGTGAATGATCAATATCATCTGATGAACTTAAATAAATGTTGCTTTTTTTAATCGAGAAATTCAATTTCGTATATATAATATCGTAACGCAACACCCGTGCCAATACTTACCCCTACCTTCACTCCAGTCTTAACTCTTTGGCTGCAAGTTTCCATGTCCCTGCTTAGTGAAGCATCCCCATAGCATGGTGCTGTCACCACTATGCTTTATAACAGGATGGTGTGGTTTGGATGATGGGGTCTGGGTAATAGTTTAGTTGACATTACCTTTAACTAGTCCAGTTTCCCTAAATCAAAGCCTACATCCGGAAAGCTCCTTTTGTACTTTGTATTTGAAAGCCTGTGGAATAATCTTTAGTATCGGTAACGCAGAGTAGGTAGACGTTTTCTGTACGATATGTGTATTGTATTTTGGTGTTGCGTATTGCAGGCTAACAAGGAACGCAAATGACTGCTCATTCCAAAGGGGCGGACCCGTTCGTGGTTTCAGTTCGCATTTTTTCTAAGCCAAAACAAGGCTTTGTTTTTGGTCCACTCTATAAAGCCTCAAACTCAATGCTGTTTCTGACATTTTGAATTGAAAAAGCTTCATGGATGTGAAGCAAAATGTCTTCAAACTTGAAAACAAAGTCCTGGATTGTTTTTTCACTTTTTTTGAAAGGCTTCTCTGTGCGACTTTCCCAGTCTACTGCATTGTTGTGCAGGAATGTTGTCCAAGTTTCTTTGATAATCCAGTTGCTTTAACTGGTTTTAGCTATCTGGCAGATTGTTATACACGGTGATGCTATATTCCTGTGGCCACAAAACAGCCCAAGTCCTCACCCCTCCACTGCCATGCTTAATAAAAATGCTAAAGACATCAGGTCTGTGATGTGAACAAAAGACGATGTAGATAGAGATCAATATAAGTATATTCTAAATCTGCTTTCTGCTGGCATTAATATGTTTTAAAACTGTAAAATCAATAAATAACAATATGCAGCAAGCATGACTTCAGGGATCAGGTTCTTATAAGTTGGCCTGATACAACATAACGCCCTCAAAAGTGTTGTTAAGGCCATGCTTTGACGGTATGGTTGAACTCGGTGCTCCTACCCGACATCAAACACGTGGTTTTAATATTACGGCTATCAGGTGTTTGTGTTTAT